CGGCGGGGTGTCATCGTCGCAGCAGCAGCACCAAAATAAATTCTCTAAGAAACGCCAGCAGTCCCGAAAGCAGTCTCCTAGGGCCCCCGTGGGCGACGGGATGCCGAGGAACCGAGACCAGAAGTCCTCCTCCGGCAGCGGGGGGGGACGTGGGGGCCCCTGGGGGGCAGCAGCCGCACCACCATACCCAGCCTGAGCCGGGGCCCCCCCAGCGGCAGTCACGGCAACCGGGGCAGCAGCAGGCGGTGCTAGGAACCCGCCCGATGCGGGGGCCCCGGGGGCCCCTGAAGGACCCGCGACCACGGGGGCTGCAACGGCACCAGGGGCCCCCGCGGCACCAGGGGCCCCAGTGGGCCCCGGGGCCCACGCACCTGCAGCCCCTGCAGGCCCTGCAGGCGCTGCAGGCCCTGCAGCCGCTGCGGGGACTTGGGGCCCCGAGGTCTCCGGGGGCCCCCAGGTGACTGTTGCTGGTGTAGACCAAGGGGACCCCGCTGAACCCGGGGCTAGTCCTGATGTCTCCATATAGCCCCCAGAGGGCCCCGGTAAGCTAGGATATGGTGCCCTTTGCTGCTGCTGCTGCTGCTGCTGCTGCTGCTGCGCGGTACCAGGGAACACCCCCTCACAGAGGTCCCTAGAAGCAAGGCGCCTGCTCGTTGGACCCTCCAGGTAGGGGGGGGGCCCCTGGGGGGCCCCCCGGTGCAGCANGAAGCAAGGCGCCTGCTCGTTGGACCCTCCAGGTAGGGGGGGGGCCCCTGGGGGGCCCCCCGGTGCAGCAGGCTGAAGCAGCTAAGCACCAGCGCCACCACCGCCAGGGAGACACTCAGCAGCAGGGCGACACGGGCCTCGTGCCGCTGCAGCCGCTGCGTCTTCTTGTGCTGCTCCTGCTGCTGCTGCACCTTGGGGGAACCTGGGGATCCTCCTACTTGTGTAGCAGCAGTGAAGGGCCCCTGAGGCCCTTCTCTTACAACCTCTGCTGGTGTGTGGGGTGAGGGGATCGTCGTCTCCCCCTCGATCCCCGCGCGCCGCGCCCCCACCGCACCACCCCGCCCTGCCCCCGCAGCGACGCAAACGAAGGAGAGGAGACAGAGCAGGCGGAGTTGTTCTCTCATCTTCAGGTGTATGCTGATGGCAATAGAAACAAGTCGAATAAAGAACAAAACAAAACACAAAACAAAATGTAAAAACAACTTATATATACACAAAACACACAGGAAACATATCCCGATGCGTTCACTGCCGCTGGTGCGCGTGCTGCTGCTGCTGCTGCTGGTGCTGCTGCTGCTGCTCCAGCGTCAACCCAGCACCTGCAGCTGTTGCAGCAGTATAGCAGCAGCAGCAGCAGCAGCTCGTGTCTGCGTATTCTGCTGGTGTAAATACATAAATAAACTTGTAATTATAACAAATAAAAAACAAAAAATATATAAATATAAATATAAATACAACAAAACCCTGACTTCTGCTGTGCCCCCTCAACTGCTGTAGCTGCTGGCGTCCGTCTCGAGACGCCGGCGGGGGGGGGGGGGGGNGGGGGGGGGGGGGGGGGGCAATCGCTCTACTTTCGGTGTATATTTCATTGTATTTATGTTTTTTTTATAAATTATTTTTAATTAAAATAATACATTTCAATTAAAAATACAGAGACGGAAGATATTAACTCATATACAAGCAGGAGGACCGCCACCGGTGCAGTGGTTTCTTTGTGCATCGACGGGTGAGCGGTGGTGCGTGTCTCGTGCTACTTCTCTCTTATTTCGTGAATTTTATTTAAATTTAATTAAATTTATTTATTTTTTATTTAATTTAATTAATTTTATACGAAGAAATTCTTTTTTTTCGCAGCAGAAGGCTCAGCATGAGGGGTCACCCGTTGCAGCCGGTCACCCAGCAGTGGCCCTGCAGCACGCGCCGGGTTTGTGTCTTTTGTGCTTTTTTTTTCGTTTTTTTTTGTTATTTTACTTTAAATTATTAAATAATATTAAAAAATATTGATAAATAATATTATAATTTGTTAACTGCCGGGTTTTTGTGCAGCGAAGTGGCTCACCCGAAGAGCCCCCTTGTCCGCCGGTCTTCGAGTGTACAGACACCGCAACATGTCTATATATATATATATATATATATATATATATATATATACATACACGAGTATAGATACAAATACAGCAGGGTGTAGAGACTGTATCGGGTGTGTGTTGAGAGTTTTCTGTGTTCCCTTTATCCTCCGTTTGTATTTGTGTTGCAGATGAGTGTGTGGGGTGTACATACACCTTGGGGTGTATGTACACTGCACAGAGAGAAGCAAAGAAGAAGCCGTTATCTGTCTTCGGGGGAGATGTCTCCTTCGTCTCCTTTATCTATCACGCGCTGTCTAGGGTTTAGGGTTTAGGGTTTAGTGTTTAGGGTTTAGGTTAGGGTTTAGGGTTTAGGGTTGTCTCCTCTGTCTCCTTTGTCTATCACTTGCTGTCTCAAGAGGTGTCTCCTTTCCTTAGCGAGGAGACGAATCCTGCATATATTGCGCTGTCTCTGTTGTATATCTCTCTTTTGTCTCCTCTGTCTCCTTTGTCTCCTTTGTCCCCTTTGTCTCCTTTGTCTCTTCTGTCTCCTTTGTCTCTTCTGTCTCCTTTGTCTCCCTTGTCTTCTCTTTCTTACGGGGAGGCGTTCGTTGATACTGCCCGCCAGCACGCGTGAGCTGTATCGGCGAGGTATTTGGCTAGCTAGCTACTTACCAACAGCTAGCTAGCTGGCTAGCTAGCTAGCTAAGTAGCTGTATATAACTGGCGAGGTAGCTGGGGGGTTGCTCCTGCACCAGCACATGGCTAGCTAGCTAGATATCTGTATATAGGTGGCTAGGTAGCTCTGGTTTCTTTTCTACTACTCATAAAGGGGCGCGAGATGTATAGCTAGCTAGCCACAGCTCCGTAGCTAGCTAGCTAGCTGAGCGCAAGACATGGAGACATCAGCTAAATATTGAATGGCCGGCGAGGCCTCAGCAGTTGCAACACACTGAAAAAGGCACAGGCACCTGGCTAGCTAGCTAGCTAGCCAGCTAGCTAGCTAGCTAGCTAGCCACGCGTACTACAGCTGTAGCTAGCCAGGCCTGCCGCTGTCGCAGCTAGCCAGCAGCTGGCTAGCTAGCTCGCCAGCTAGCTGTATTTGCATTCATAGGTTACTCTTGGAACACACTAAAGTAAGTTCAGCAGCCCGCAGCACGGGCTCGCGTTGACAACGGGGGGGACAAGGGAGTGAGCTCAGGTTGGGGGAGTCAAGGAGGAGGAGCAGCTAGCTAGCTAGGCGCTAGCTAGCTNACAAGGGAGTGAGCTCAGGTTGGGGGAGTCAAGGAGGAGGAGCAGCTAGCTAGCTAGGCTCTAGCTAGCTGGGTAGAGACACTGTGGAGCTATAGGGTAGACACGGCGGCACCGCGGGGAAAGGGGGAGGGCTTGGCTGGGGAATGTGCTGGGTATAGAATATGTAGGAAGTGAGTTGGCTAGCTAGCTAGCTAGATGTTTAGCTATGCAGGTGGCTAGCTAGCTAGCTAGCTAGTTGGCTAGCTAGCTGAGGCAAAACCTCCGCGCTCCTCCACCAAGGCTCTCACCTTATACCCGACGCGATAGCTAGACAGATGGCTTCAATATACTGACACAACTGCTGCTGATGGGGAGCCTGAACGTAGCTAGCTAGCTAGCTAGCTAGCTAGGTATCTGTCTAGCTATCTAGCTAGCTAGCTGTATATATATCTAGCTAGCTAGCTGTCTATATATATATATATATATATATATATATATATATATATATATATATATATATATAT